GTGTGTGTGTGTGTGTTCTGGTTAACCCGTCTGGTGCCTGTCCTCCATTCCTCTGAGGTCACGTGATCTGCTGTAATGACAGGGATTTGCTCTGGACATTGGCGAGAACTTTTGACAATAAATACTGTCCTGTATCTGCCAAGAGCAGGAAACAGCTCTGGAGCGCCGAGAGCCAGTCAAACCATGACTGATGTTTTGGCCCAGACACAATCTGCAGAAGTTTTTCACATTTTCTACACCGGTTTTACTAATAAATCTGCTGCAGTCGTGTTTAAATGCAATCAGATGTGTTAATTGTGACTCACAGTTCTGCTCTATTACACAATCGGGTATGAAAATGAACTCTTTTCCTCTTTCACTGCTGAAGAAAATGGTTTTAGCTGGTCTGAAATGTCCTCAAAACCCTTTTTTTATGGTCATGGTTTTGGTTCTAGTAAACTGTAATAACCCTGACAACATCAGACTAAAACACAATAATGTCACAGCATTTTGTCATGCACTGATAGTTACGGATAAATAGTCTTGTTATTGAAAAAGCGAGATAAAAAAGGTAATTTATCTCAATTCTTTATCTCTTTTTTCTCATGGTTCTGTGAAAAAAAGTCAGAATTATGAGATATAAACTTGCAATTGTGAGAAAGCCAGAAATCTGTTTTTATCTCACAATTCTGACTTTTTTTGTTTCCACCATATAATAATAATAATAATAATAAAAAAACAAGGTAATTTCAACTTTTTATCCCACAATTCTGACATTTTCTTCTCACAATGCTGCATGTATTTCTCACACTTCTGAGAAAGAGGTCAGAATTGTGAGATACAAACTTGCAATTGCCTTTTTTACTGTTTTTATCCTGTGGCAGAAACAAGCTTCCATAGAATGAGCTTTAATAACCAGAAGGAAAGCTGATTATTAAAGCGGACACAGTGAACAAACCCTAAAGGATGATGAGATCAGAATATGAGGAATGATGGCTTCCTCCGTCGCCGTCTGCTGAAGGTGTCTCTGATCTGCTGGAAAGCCAGGAATGGGAAAATCATTCGGCCGCTCCAGGAAAGCGTTTCAGATGGGCTCCGGCTCCATATTTCACTATCAGCGCACAATGAGCTGTTTCTGTGGCGTTTAGGGAGTTTGTTTCTGCTTCGCGAGTGTTGGATGAGAGTTTGGAGCTTTTTGGCAGAGAGCAGCGCAAACAGAGACAAACACGAGTAAACATTTGCAGCATTAATCACGCTTTATTTGTGATAAACGTATATGCTGCTGCAGATTCCAGCGATCGGTGCAAACCAGCCCACATAAACTGGCCTAAACTGGTTTGCTAATCTGCTCAGGCTGGTTTTAGAGAAGAAAACAGTGCAGCTTCACTTGTTCATGTTAGGAACTGAAGTATTAGACATAATAAGTGATGTGCTCAGACAGGCCTCATGCTGGATTTCTCTGAGTTTCAGGGTGTCTCTGTAAGTGTGTTACTGTCACACTTTACCGAGCTCTTCTGGAATGAACGCCACACTGTACTTCTTAATTTTCCACTTCTGTAGTCTCGACCTTTAACCTCTCGCTTGTCTTTGTCCCTAGAAATCTCCACAATATCTTTCCATATGATCTCGGTCTCTGAAGGAAAGCTGGCAGCGCTGGGAGAGATCTTGGCAGGCCGGAGTCATTATTTGGAAATGTGTGTTTTTCTGCGGAGTGTGGCGGAGAGGCCAGCAGTAAAAAGGTGCTTTACAAGAGAGAGAGAGAAAGAGAGAGAATCGAGGGCTTATTCTCTGCGATGTTGGCAGAGTTTCTGAGGAAAAACATGGACTGCTTGGCAGATAACTGAGAGAGAGAGAGAGAGAGAGAGAGATGAGTCACATGAGATCTCTTTAATATCTCAGTTGTAGAGAGATGAGACTTTTGCTCCAGTAATCTCACACGAGCCTCATCTACAGTTTTACTGTAGATTTCAACACAGTGTGCTCAGTCTCTGACTCATTTATAGACAGCTGAGACTCAGGTTATCATTGTTAACTAAAACTATAACCATAAAAAAATAAAATGATAAAACCTTTAAACTTATTTTGTTTCAGCTAGTTGCCAATGCATCATTTGTCATTAAAGTCATTAAATTAAAATGAATAAAAACTAAACTAAAAATTAAACTAATTAAAGACATATTAAAAAATAATAATAATAATAATAAAAATGATAGCTCTTTAACTAAAATCAAAATGAAAACACAAATATATATAAATAAAATTACATTATAAAATAATTTTAAATAAATAATAAAAAATACAAATTATAAGATAATATACAAATAAAAATAATTTGAAATACAATAAAATCTATAATAGTGTCTCGGTGACGCTGCTGAAATCTCCACTGACTCTCCTGAGCTGTGAATGAGCCTCATTTGAGCAATAACAGCTTCCAGTGGAGACATTTAGTGAATTTTGAACAGAAGGCATTCACTGGAGCGGTGGTTTATTGACATTAACAGACAGAACCGGATCTTCACTAACAGAAATACACCAGTGATTCTGTCCAAACCACTCATTTACAACTACAACACACACTCATACACACATACACACTCTCACACACATACACACACATGTGTGGTTTGCTATCCTTGTAGGGACTCTCCATAGGTGTAATGGTTTTTCTACTGTACAGATCATATATTCTATTGCCCTACACCAACCCTACACCTAAACTTACCCCTCACAGGAAACTGCATTTTTAGATTTTCAAAAAACTTCATTCTGTGTGATTTATTAGCTTGTTTACCCATGGGGACCTCAATTTAGGTCCCCACCGTGACACGAGTCCCCATGAGTCTGTGTGTATTCAGGTGTAAGTCCCCACCAGAATAGAAAAACAGGTACACACACACACACACACACACTCACACACACACACACACACACACACGTTTGAGCTTCCGATTTTAGCAGAATAGAAAAACACGTACACACACACACACACACACACTCACACACACACACACACACACACACGTTTGAGCTTCCGATTTTAGCGT